AAAAAAAAATTGGGATTCCACTGTCCCTTTTAGTGTATTTTGTAACTTGTTTTTATTTGATCTGACACAAATATAGTCTGTGGAATAGTGTCATAGTTTAAGAGTTTGTTTATATTTAACTACTGCTGATGTGCAGTGAACAATACAAACTGTAACTATTGTACTCTTGTTTTTCAGTGAACTAGTCACAAATTTCCAGTGGCAAGTGTTGGAGCCATTCTCTATTGTACCAGAAAGTGGCACTTTAGCTCCAAGAACATCATGCAGTATTAAAGCAACATTTTGCCCCAAGGTATGTAACATACACTTTGTGCAAGTTGTTATAACCTTTACAATGCACAAGCCAAAAATTGTATAAGGATCAATATGTATTGGTACTGTTGCTTTTTTCCGGTGCACCTGTCGCTACAGTTAACCTAAATAGCATTAATTGCCTAATTAGCACTTAGGTTAGCCTAAATATCACTGACAAGACAGTCATTTGCTGTCAATAATAATACAGGTATAGGTGTCTTAAAGGGTGACTCTAACAATTACCGTTAGTTTTGTTACCCCTACAGACACCTGTATCTCACCCTAGATATCACCAACTCAACACCCATATCCCACATTGACTCTTATCCATAGTGCCATTTCATCATTTCACAATTTTGTGATTACTTATGTTGAACATGTCATGTCTTTACAGGCAGCGTTAGTGTATGAAGCCACTGCTGTGTGCACGTACAGTGCTGGGCAGAAGACTCCCTTTACAAAGCATGTCAGAATTGAAGGAATAGGTAAATGACTGTCACATTTCTTTCACATCTTGCCTCAAGGCTAGTTGTTTTGCTATTCTGTTAATTTTGTAACAAACTCTGCTTCCTCTGTTAGGCAAATTTCCTCACCTGGTGGCAAGTGTATTGCAGAAATCTTCATTGATAGAGCCATCCAGCAAAGAAGAAGTGGTTTTGAACTTTGGTGAAGTGCCAGTTCAAAGCACTGCTAACAGATGGATTGAGCTTCATAATTTTTCTCCAGTTAGTACTGATGTTGTTAGTTGATAATCTACTTTATACAGTGAATCCTGATTTTTTACCCCTTGATTCTTGGACCTATTGATTATTTGAAACAATCCTTCACTTCCCTGGTAGAAAAAGGTAGGAGAAATTTATCCTCAATTTTTCAAACTTCCGGAATTTTCAAACCAATTTCTGTTTAGAAAACCAAGATTCCACGGTGACTTGTTATTGAGAACAGTCCATGGTCGTTTCTTGTGAGTAGCATGGACAAGTTTAAAATCAGATTCCGAGTCTGGGCCCAAGCCAGTCATCATGTTTTTCCTGAGTGTTGTAATTAGATGTGTTCCAGAAAGTTGTTTGGGCATCATAAGTAAATACTTGGAAGTAACCTATCTGCAATGAGCTATTTAAAATTAGAAGCAGATGGAGTAGCAATACTCCTAACCTCTAGTTATTATATGCTACAAAAACTAGCCGCTAAGATATGCTATTTGATGATGATTAACAGGTAAATGCACCCTTCCAAGTGCTACAGCCATCATCTGCGTCCAATATTGACACAGTATTCTCAAGTTCACATTACCATGGAGTTGTTCCAGCAGAAAGTACGATAAAACTGAAGGTGATTTGTTCAGTTATAAATATGCAGAATATTTAGCAACTGATTTGCAAAAGCAGATTAATGAGGAAACTGTTGACTCAGGGTCATAATAATTTGTAATCCAGGTATTAAGAGGTCTGTTTAGTGTTCATGAGCTCAAAGAGAGCCAAAGAGCTGTCCATCATTGTTGCATAATGTACATCATTAGCAAATTACTACATAGGTGGCCACTGGTAACATGTAATTCATTCTTTCACTGCAGGTCTCGTTTACTCCTCAAAATCCTGGCCAGTATTCAGTGGATTATCTGGAAGTTATAGCTCTTGGAGCTACTAACTGTTCTGTTGTCAAATGCACTGGAATTGGAAAAGGTAGACAGATACTGTAGCTGTTCACTGCTCACAAGCTGACAAAGATTATAGTTCATAAAATTTCATGTTGTCACTTACTATTTGTTAAAAAATGTCACAGTGCACGTGGTAATTGCTCCTGAAATCATGAAATTACTTCATTATAGAAGGGATTACATTAAAAAAAAAGTTGCAATAAGGTTTTTGCAAATCTGGCTGCCAGGGTTGCAAACTGAAACATAATTTAATATTTTAGAGTTGACAACTAAATTGAGAGTCATGTGCAGGAAAAATGTTTTTCTAGCTTGATGAGTTGCTTTAATTTATAGTTTCCTTAAAGTAATTGTCAGTTCACATGGAAATTGATTGACACTGCACAATGTTAACAGTTGTTGCAGAAATTCTTGCGTGCTAGTTGCCTAATTTTCATTGACAATAAGCAGACAGTCACATGAATTTATAATTGAAGGAGTGTGAGGAAAAAGCCCTAAGTGAGTCCTAAAATTATATTGAATTCTCCTTTTTCATAATAAGAAGTGAAAAGCAATTTGCAAGGAAAATCTTGCAGTCTATCTGATGTCACTTTGCGCCTTTTTCTATGCACCCCTTCAATTTATGCAACTTTATGAAAACAAATTGCCATCTGTTTTTCATGCGTTTGTCCAATGCGTAGTCTGCGTTTCCACTCGGCTATCACAAGGCTGCTGCCTAATGGGCGCCTGGTCACCTGAAGCACCTAAGTTATGAGGGCGGGTGACTAAAGTTTTGTTCAAGGAGCCCGAGTGGGCACCTAAACATGGAGTTTTCATTTCCATCTGATTTGTCCGATGACTTCAATCTTATATTTACGACTTTCAAGTCTAAATATTCAAGTAACCAGCCAGCAAAAAGAAAACATCCTTGCAATTGTTTTTGCATACTAAGGTTTTATATTTCAAACTATCAAACAAATTGTCATGACTCCATCCAATATACAAGAATATATTTTCTCCAAAGAAGCAGCCAATATAATGTGGCAATGCTGCCTCTAAATCACCTTTAGTTTATACTTATGTCCCAATCCAGGGGAAGGAAAGCACATTTCACCGAGACCAAATTGAACTCCCCCCAAATGCCTTCTTCATTTTTATTTGTTTTCATTTGCAGCTTGCTTTACATAATTTGTACAGTGTATTTTGTTTTGTTAGAATAGAGTTGCAAAACTCAAATACAAATGCAGCAATATAAATTTTTGTAAAAAAGTTGCAGCACTTGCATGGATGCACCAATTATTGAATTTGTTTGAACATAAATGGTATTCTTTCTCAGTCATGACCTGATCACTTTATTTCAAAAATTTGATTGGTATTAGACCATATTAGTGTCATGGAAAATTTCTGACCCCAGACCCCTCCCCTAAATTTCTACAATTTACTCCAACGCCCCCATCTTCCCCAACCTCCCCAACCCCCCGGATTGACCACGGCAAATTTTATCCTGGGCTCCTATTTTTGAAACTAGGAGCCCAAAGGGCTCCTTAATAATTTCCTTAGGTAACAGCCTTATATCACCTCATGGATCCACAGCTACTTTGACAATGTTATGATGAAACTCATGATCAATAACAGGACAGATGCATGAAAAACTGATGTCAATTTGTTAAATACACATGACTGTACAGTAAAATGTTTATTTCTATCCTGTATTCTTTAGGACCTGAAGTTGCACTGGACTGTGACTTCCTTGATATGGGAGTTGTAGAGTCTGGTAAATTTGCGGCGAAAAGTTTCAAGATTACAAACAATGCTGAAGTTCCTGCTGCTTTCCAGGTAGGCATAAGAGTGAACATTTCTCAGGTCTCATTTAAATATATCTAGGTGCACCTATGATTGATTCAACTACTCTGACTGCATATATAATTTTTTTATATAGTAATGTTTAGTCAGCTTTGTAGCCAAGAAGTAGACAGTTTTACTTGAATATACATGTATACTTAGGAGATATAATTTATGTATTTAGTATCACCTAACTGGTGGACTAATGCAAATCCTGCATTTTAATTGGCTACGCTACACAGGACTATTAGTAATAGTCCTTGAATAGCGAAATTGGCGCAATCGAGGGTGACGCTTTCTTTCGTTTTATTCCCAAATAAATATTTCGTCAACTTGCATTTGCTAACTTTATTATTGCCTTTTCTGTCTGACTAGTTGGGTGATACTTAAACAATTAGACCCTTCGCCCTCAAGGGCCACAGGTCAATAGCCCATTCGGCTTTGCCTCATGGGCTATTGACTCATAGCCCTTGCGGGCTACGGGTCTAACTGTTAAATAGTGGGCCTTAGTAGAGGTCAAAAAGAAACAAAATGTGATCAGTGAATTGTAGCAATCAGTTTTTCATGGACTTGATTGTGTTTAAATGTACTTATGCTCTCTTAAAATTTTTCAGTTCATGATTGACTGTAGTCAGAGTGTCTTCAAGCTGGAAACAACATGTGGTTTGCTGCCTGGCAAAGGTTCTCAAACTGTCATTATACGATTCTCTCCAACAAATCCTATTAATTACTACAGGAGACTCACTTGTCTTGTCGAAAATCAGGTCAGTGTCAGACAACTTTTTGATTTTTATTGCAAGTGTTTCCATTTTCATTGCCATTCAGTTGAAATGTGTTTGGACATTTTGTGTTTTCTTTTCAGAATCCATTGTTTGTTGATATGTTTGGGACTTGTCACACAGAACAAGTGAAACCAGGTATGAAAAGTTATTGTTGTTAAGTACTACTTGTGTATAACTGATTAAAAATAGAAATTAGTTACTTAAGACTGACTACAAGAGCTTATAAATAACTCAAAAGACAATACTGCTCAAAAAAAATTGCTATTGCTTTAAAGCAAATATTTTCTAGTGGACCAAAAAGTTAAGTTCAAGCCCTGCATATAATAGTAAGACATAGTTGGACAGCCCTTTCCAATTTACAATGATGAGTAATTATACTGGATAACATGTTTGTCCAGTTTTTTAAAAAACAGCAATTTTACAACAATGATGATAATATAATTTCAGCATTCAGTGTTTTTAATGGTGAATAAAATATTTACCATGGAATATTCATTTATACACCTGTAGCTGTTCTGGAGAAGAAGCATCTGGATAGATATCATACTCATGTCAGACGTGGATTCTCAAAAATTTCACCAGAGGTAAGTTTTCAACTGCAGATTTTATTACTGTTCAGGTGCTTAAAAAGAGGAAAATTAATTTCCTTGTTTTTTATATATATTCTAACCAAAATCCTGTATCATGTGTACTAAAGGCATCTACGGTTGAGTGTCGATTGATACCCTCAATCAACACTCCAGCGACATCTCGAGCGATACTCAGTCAACACTGGATTGACACATGATTGACCCTAGACAGACACTCAATCAACATTTGATTAACAGTTGGTGATAGTTGGCGGAGTGTCAACTGACTCATGTGTATCGATCAACACTTGATGGGGTGTCTGCAAAAATTAGTCAAATGTACACCTACTGTCGACCGAGATGTCAATTGAGTGTTGACTGAGTATCGACGGAGATGGTGATCAAGTGTTGATAGAGATGTTGATCAAGTGTCTATCAAGTGTTGATTGTATGTATGGATCGACACTTGAGCGCAGATGCCTTTAGTACACATGGTCCAAATCTCCTATTAAGTCATTGACTTGTGTGCCCAATGCCTGAACCCCAAAGTAAAACCTATTAGATACAGTTAATATTAGTTGTCTGTGTTTCATAGCAACTTAATGAAGATCTAAGAGCAAAGAAACTTCAGCTTGATGAGGATGGAGCATTAATGGCATTAGAGGTTTGTATTAATTAACACCACTACGTTTTGATGCAAACATGTCAAGTCATAAAGTTCTAAGCAAGAGTTAGTGACATGCAAACGTGATAAAAATTGTTGTTGACCCAAATTCACTCAAGAAAAGAAGAATATTTAGCTCTAAGTGGGAAAGGACACACCCATTAGTGCAACTCCCATAGGTTGGGTGCTATTTGCCACTATAGAAACGAAAAGAAATCTGTAGTGGCCTGTCAGATCACTACAGGAGACAATATCTTCTTGTCACCAGCCACTGAAAGATGAGATTTGCTCCAGGCTTCTTCTCATTTCTAAAGTGGCAGATTTCTGTGATGAAAGAATGATGCAACACTAAACCTGGTGTTATTGGGCAGCTGTGATGATACAGTTAAACCGTATTATATACAAACACCCTCTTAATAAGGAAGGATGCCTTGTTGTTATGGACACTGACTTTGGTACCTAGTGCTGTGGTATCTTGTTAACAGTGCTGGACTGTTTGAGCAAGATATAAGTATAGTTTGGTCCACAGTGATGCACCTTGCACTGAGTTTGAATGGTGTAAAGGAAATGGAAATGGGTGAGATCCTGCAATTTTTGTTTATTCATTTTCAACTCAAGCCAAGCCAAAGCTTTCCCCTTTGGTCCTCATACAAGCAACTTGTAAGCAACTTGCCGATAATTTGTAAGAAGCTGGTTACATGTATACCTAATAACAACACTTCCTTTTTTCAATTCTCAGAACACTTCATCAGGAGACCTGCTACCTTCGATGTCTCAACTCTCACCCATGGAAGAGTTTTTCTGTCATGCATCAGTAGGAGAAACAGTAAGTAATTTATTCTTGCTATGATAATTATAGATCAGAAAAATTAAAAAATTTACCTGCTGGAAACTCATCCCACTTGCTGTGAATAAATTTGAATTTCTGTTTTGTGATTTTCAGACTGCAGTTGTCCCACATGTTAGTTTAGATATTCACCATGTAGACTTTGGAAAGTTGCTGGATCCTAATGCAGTAGAACAGAAGGTGACAACAGTTAAACAGTTTTTAGACTATCTTTCCCCCAAAAAAATTACTTATGTGATTTGCAGTGGCATTTGTATAAATGATCACTTAGGTTTCATCTACAGACTCAGAAGTAAGAACCACCTTTTACAGCATAATTAACAGTACCACATGAGAGTACTGCTCAATAGCTTTCATTTGAATGGTCACATACTAGGGTTATATCCACAGCATTAGAAGTTAGAACCACCTTGTACAGCATAATAAACAGTACCACATGAATGTACTGCTCAGTAGTTTGAATGGTCACACAGCAGGGTTTCACCTATAGGCTAAATAGTTGGAAACACCTTTGACCAGTATATAAGAAGTTGATGTACCATCATTACCTGTGAAAGAGCCTTTCAATTTGAACTGCATTCGTTGTCAAGTAAGTTTTAGAAGAATGTTAATTTGCTACCTGTACAACATTTGATACAAACAGATGCTGAAAAGAACACAGATGTTTGCTATATTGAGACAATAACTTGGTTCTTTATGTGTTTGTAGACGGTCAACATTACAAATCATACAAAGGGGAAAATTACATGCATGTGGATGAAAGGTTAGTGCGGCATCAGTTTTTCTTATGGTTAGCAGAAATTTTCATGTGACCTAGAGCTCTATTCAGGCCAAGAGAGATCTTTAAAGTCCTAGACAATATTTGATTTTTTCATCAGGCTTGGTAACTAAATATAGTCTCAGCCTTACTTAATTTGCATTGCCTTACAGATACAAAAGGAATATTTTCTGTTTCTCCTGAGGAATGTGACATTCTTCCCTTAAAAACTGCTTCATTTAGAGTGACATTTAGACCTGTAAGTACTAACTTATCATTGTACCTCTAAACATGTTACTTGAAAATGTCGATTGCAATAATTATTTGCATTTTCATTTTATTCTAGAATGCTGGAAATCAGTTTTTCAGTGCTGACCTGGAATGCTATGCATTTTACAAGGTAATTAAAAGGTGTCATTGCATTAAAAAAAATTAAAAAATAAATAAATTAAATGCAAATGCCTTTGCTGTTTTAACTGTAAGTTCAAGCATTTCTGCCAGGTTGAATTCTGTTTAGTAAGATGCCCTAGATGTGACAAGTAGGCCCCACAAGAGTTTCTTCCTTGATCTTCTTATGGTGATGTTTAACTATTTGTTTATTTTCTACCTTGTCATAGAGTATGAGAGATTATCGACTTGTCGAGGACACGACTCTTTGTCCTCCTTGGTGTCTTTCACTCAGTGCTACAGGTTTGTGAACCACTTACCATTGCTTGTTTAGCAAATGCACAGGAATAACTGATTCCAAACATAACATTGCTTGTTGCTGTCAATTTGTTGTCATTTGTATCACAAAGCATTTTATTTTTTGCTGAATGTTATTTTTCAGGACATACATTTGCACTCGGTACTGAAACATTTATTCCTAGAAGTCAGTGGGATGTCAAGCACTTGGTAAGAAACGTTCCTCCTCCAGCCTCTCCTCGCATGTTAATAACCCTATGTAACTTAAACATGTTCTGTTAATTTAACAGGTCTTTCCTGCTGTCACAGTGGATGGTGTGTCATATAGAACCCTGTTGCTAAGCAACACTGGGCAAAATCCAATCCATTTTGCATTTGACTACCACCCATTAGGGTAAGAATGAGAATAATTCTGATTCTTGTTCTTGTTTCTGAATAAACAAGCAGAGTTTAAATGAAATCGTCTCACTATATTAAAGTAGTTGCTTAAAAGCTTATACTAACTGTAAGAATATTTATTTCTGTTGGCAGAGAGTTTATCTGCAGACCAAGGACAGGCCTACTCACTGACAAATACCAGGTTCTTAAATTTTTTGGAGATGGTGAAGTAGTGTCTTTTGTACAAGACAAATAATCATAGTTTTATTGGAGTTCATTCCAGGAACATTTCAGAATTATTTTTCACACTCTTATCATGGCTTGTTGTTGTTGCTGTTGTTATGAGATTCATTAACTGCAAGTTTTCCTATCCCATTGTTAAATATTTTTTGATTTGTGAATCTTGTGCTTACACCACAATGGAGATTGAAATCTTAATTTATTTATCATTATTTATTTTTGTACAGCTGATTGTTTTCAAAATGACTCCCTCTGAGGCAAAGACTTTTAAACATACTGTCAAGTGCAAGCTTAATGATGCTGATAAATTTACCCAGGTATAGAAACTCAAAGTTCTTTTTTTTAATCAACAAGAATATTGATGCTCAGAACATGATGGAATAAGCATACATAACTCAAGCTGTCAATTAGGCTAGATATAATTATTAATTATCATTAAATTGTACTTAACACTCTGAACATTTTACTGTAAGTGTAAGAAAATCTCTTGTATTTTACTCAGGAAATCAGCCTTGTTGGATCAGCAGAGATGCCATCACTTAAACTTAGTAATCAGGTATTTATCTTTTTCACTGATTCTGAGGCCTTCATTTCAGCAATCATTTTCAAAATAACTCATGGAATAGATCTCCTTAAAGGTCTGGAGATTCATCAACGCTTAGAAATGTATACATTTACATCTAGTTAGAGAATTTATAATTAAATTTTGTATCCCAGTAACTGGGTCACCATTTCTAGAAATGTTTTGACAAGTAATATTCTTATTTTCTTTTCATGAACAGGGAACTGTTTATTTCAAACCGACCTGTTTGGGAACAGCATCTCCGAGGTCATTTGAACTCAAGAACACTTGCAGGATTCCATTAAGGTATGCCTCCCATGACCCTTCTTGTTTGTATTTTTTTCTCTCTCTTTCAATTTTCGAAGCTGAGAAAAATGTGTGGCTTGTAGATGTTCTGTGGGTGAGGGGCCATTCCATTTCCATTTGGTTAAGACTGATAATCCCTTAAAAATAATTATTATAGTGGTAACAAGTTTTACTGCCTGAACAGGTTTTTGTGGAAGATTCCTGGCCCACAAGTTAAAACTCTGAGTATTTACCCCTCGGAGGGAGTCATACTACCTAATGAAACTCAGGTGAGGTTGTTACAATAGCTGGTCAGAGGTTATTTTTAATTACATTCTGCAAGCTTTTTGAGAGTTCTTCCAGTATCCCTAGTGATTGAGTGTTGGTGACTGAGTGTTAGTTATAAACTGGTTCAACAGTCCTGGCTAATCAGTCTACTCATGACATCTTCTATCAGTTATTGTCAGGTAATTTGGTTCTTTGCTAAGATTTGTCTTTTAATAGTTGCCTTTTCCTCTCCTAGTCACACACATTCCACTTTAGTCCTCATGAAGAAGACAAATATGTCATCAAGACAAAACTTACTGTCAAAGGATTGCAAGTAGATGACCAACAGCTGTAAGGAACAGTCTACTTCTCTTCAACAATGTTTTTCCCTCAACTGTTTGGTTGTTTGTGGATAATAACACAAAATGTCTGTGTAGCTTTTGACTGTATATATAAATATATGGTCCATAGTCTTACCTGGACATATTGCCACTCCTTGAGTAGAATGCTAACTAGTATTTCCCAGCCTGTTATTTAAGAAATATAACAATTTGCATTATACTTTTACACATATTTATTTGGAAAGGCACTAGTATGGGAAATGCCAATATCAGATGCTCTCTTTCTGGAAAATGCAGCACCAAAGTTCTTCCACAGCAATGCTGTGAATTTATTGTTTTTAAATTTGTGAACTAAGGTTCAAAATGCCTTGATTTTGGGGGCTCGCAAATTTTGAAGTCCAGGCAGTTTAGACAGAAGGATAACCCATGAACTCAAACAAAACTGCTAGTGCTTCTTTATAGTTGCTGTTAATTACTGTGCCTTTCAGTGGCATGCCAACTCTCAACAATTAATTCCATTTTATCCTACCAACAATTATCTTTGCTGACTTCTCAGCTTGTTTGTCTTAAATCTTGTGTAGGGCACCAGAAGAAAAGACATATTTAGTAAGAGTTATTGGTGAGGGATCTGTCGGGGAGATAGTGGTAAGTAATTAAGTCAGTGATTGTTTGCCAAGGTCAACTTTTTTGAATAAAATAATTAGGTTTCGTGTATTTGACTTAAGATTTTTTCTTGCTTCATTAGTGCACAGAGGAGGCTGTGGATTTTGGTGATATTATTGTGGGAAGCTCTGCTTCCCGTGAGTTGTTAATTCACAACAACAGTGACTGCAGTCTACACTACAACTTACTTATTGACCAGGAGATATCAGGACCTTATGATGATGAACAGTCTGCAAGAGATGTACTGGGTAAGCAGCTAGTACACCAAAGAAAGAGCTTCTCATAGCTTTCTGTTGATTTGAATGAAGGAAACACACAAGGGTTTTGAATGGTTACACTCTAGAATTTCATCCAGAGGTGAATTTTAAGAGCATAATTTAAACAGTGTCATAGGAACATACACCTAAAACTCAATACTGGCAAATAAAAGGAAATTCATAATAATTATTATTTTTTATCTTTATGACTTGTGAGGGAATACATTAACATTATAATTGTTATGACATCTCTTGTAGCTTTGGAAATAAATAACCAGAATGGAATAATTCCAGCAAGAACGTCTCAGAAGATTACAGCAACTGCTTATCCGTCACGTCGAGTCTGCTACAAGTTCAAACTCAGTTATGAGCTTTTCTCGATGTTTGGTATGTTACTTAATATAACATCGCATTCAGAAAATACATATTTGAACCTGGCCACACTGGCCACCCTGAGACAAAATTTAAGTGGCCACTGTAAAGAGGTGGCCTGTGTGAGAGTTGAATGTATCGATCAGCACTTGAGACAACACCCCTTCATTGAAGAGATGTGGCTCTTATAGCAGGGTAGCTGTAAATTGAGACTCTGCTGTATTTGATGCAGGTACTTTGACATTGGCCCTTTCTGGCACTACCTGCAAATTACAGCTTTATCTACAGTGCTTCGATTTGTTTATAGGAGAGCCTGGGTGGAAAGATTCATGTCATGGACATATTTTTCCTCCTATAGATGATGGTAAACCGTTCTTAACATGCCCCAAGAGACAACTAGTTGATCTGCAGTGTCAAGGAGTGTATCCAACTCTTTCTGTAACTGATGCTCGCTGCCTGGGGAGTGGTAAAGGATACAGTAAAATACAAATATGGACCCTCTTTTCCCTTGACAGGTCAGATATAATCAAACACTTAGCTAGAGAAGTTTTAAGTTGGCTGTCACAAGCTATAGTGTTTGCTTTGACAGGTCAGATGTAATCAAACACTTAGCTAAAGAAGTGTTAAGTTGGCTGTCACAAGCCATCAGTGTTTGCTTTGACAGGTCAGATATAATCAAACACTTAGCTAGAGAAGTTTTGAGTTAACTGTCACAAGCTATAGTGTTTGCCTTGACAGGTCAGATGTAATCAAACACTTAGCTAAAGAAGTTTTAAGTTGGCTGTCACAAGCTATAGTGCTTGCTTTGACAGGTCAGATGTAATCAAGCACTTAGCTAAAGAAGCTTTAAGTTGGCTGTCACAAGCTGTAGTGTTTGCTTTGTAAATAATATGTCACCAATCAGTCAAAAATGTAGGTTAACTAGGCACATCATGTCATTTTTAAATTCTGAAACAACTAGTCGTTGTGGGTCAACCTACATCGTAGATAATGAATGTAACAATAGTAAATTCCACAGTAAAATTAAGTCTCGTTCTTACTTTGTAGCCTGAATGAATGCCTGGAGTCCGATCCATCTCCGTCAGAACTCCTTTATGCTGCAGTCACTCGACACAGGTCGGTAACTAATTGTTATAAATCACTGGTGTACACTACATTTTATAAAATTCAAATCACTTCTGTGGAGATTTTTGTGATGTCTAAATCATGCTGGCAACAGACAGCTGGGGACCATTATCCTGATTATGAGGTCTTGATATTTGTATTCAATTTTCACAGCACAAGGCGCCGAGTCCCTGTCAACACAAGAGCCATAATGGACTTTAACTTTGGAGCAGCTCCTCTGGGCGATGACTCATGTGTGGTTCATCTGAACCTACAGAACACAGGATCAGTTCCTGCTGAATGGTAAGTACATCATCACTATTCTTCATCTGCTATCACTATGTAGGGCTGTCATTACGTTTTGAGTCACCTCCTGGTACCTTGATCTTCACGTCCATAACCAACTTGTTTCTTCGAGGGTGTGTTGTATCAACAGCAGGCAAGTTCACCTAGAGCATCAAGGGTTCATCAAGCATACTCAGGTGTAACAGGTTTTTCAAGTTACGCCCCTCAATGCATATGATGGCCCAATCCACAATGAACTCAATTAAGGTATACTCATCTTATAACTCACCCATGGTCGAACTTATACTAAAATGTAAAGTTATATGTGATCCTCTATTACATTTTAGGAAATAGTAAAATAACTGCTCATGTTTGCCGCATTGCACAGGGCTTTCTTGTATCCGAGTGATCTGCAGCTTGAATTGGAGTATTGGACTGAGACAGGAGAGTATGATGAAGATGAACTTCATGAGGTAAGAAATGCAGGTTGGGTAGGAAGGGGTCTGGGCACTAACTGACCTGTGTTTGTTTTTCATCATTCTTTAGATGCAGGTCATGGACAATAAACTATTCAACATTGAACCCAGAAGAGGGAAGCTGTTACCAGGAGAGTGTCGCACTGTTACTCTAACTTACAGGTGACCGAGGACTCAGCTTGTACTGTACCTCTTAGAAAGCAAAAGTGTTTTGATTTTTTCACTGCACAACGTACACAACGCAAATACAAAGTATAACTCTTAACTCTAGTGTCTATAGCATCAGGGAGAAAGGACTCGGTCGTTTGAAGCAGGATGAACCAATCCACGTTCAGCATAAACTGTAAATTCTCAGCACCAGTACATTGTTAATAACAATGGATCATCCAAGGTGACATGTATCTGTTGCATGAATCGACTAAGTATTGCTGCCCTGCCTAGCTGCTATTTCTGCATAAGTGACTTTGCAAGATCCCGCAAACAGCGGTTTGCAAGTTTCAGCAAAGAAGGAAAATTTGCAGTGGAAGACGTGACCCGTTACCCCTGTCGTTTTGGTCAGGTTATATATTGCCAAGTGTCATTTTGTGCTCTGAAATGTAGAGGAACACTGTAAAAGTAATTTGTCTCACTCAAGCAAACGAGAGAAAAGCTCTGGGGCAGGCTCAAACTTGAGTGTGCCAATCTGGAGTCCAGTAAGCTAAATTAGCTCGCCATTGATTGTACTTATCCATGTTACTTTCTACTCATTCGTTACTGTTTAATATACACTTGAATTGCCAGCCACCTGTTCACTGGTACCAACAGACTTCCAATCTTGTTCAAGGTCATGAGAGGAAGAGAAATCCTGGTATGATATGTCTCGCATAGGGTGGTGTCTTAGTAAACAGAGGTAGCACTTAAATTAGCCTGTTTTCTACCTTTTAGAGGTCTTCACCTGAGCGGGTTGTAAACTATAGAGAGACCGAGCTTTGCACTTATGATGGTCAACCACAGAGTATTAAGCTATAATACTAAGATTATCTTAAGTTGTGGTTTGTGGGTGTTCTCTGGCCAGGTCCAGCGAAAATAGAAACTGCAATGATTGTAGTTCGGATTTTTCTTTTCACTTGAACTAGCGAATGACGTTGTACAACAACATCAATTTCCCTCTTAACTAAAACATGAAACCAGCAATGCCTGCTAACCATACATCTCCACAAAATTAACAAAATTATGTTTAAGCACTTATACTTGAAAACATTGTACTTTTAATAACGTTTAAGCTTTTTTTTGAACAGGGTGAAAGAATGTGTAGTTTTACAGGGTATAAAGTGTATAGCGTGTCACACATTAAAACAGTTAAGAATTTTTTCATTGACCATAGCGTTGTGTTTTACTTGTTAATGTGGTTGTTCTTTTTTACCACAGTTGAATTTCACTGGCGTGACTGTGGACCCAGACAGTTTCTATGTACACTTTGCCAACACACGGCACCTATTTGAGCCTGTCCCTGTGGGAGGGACCTCACCACCAGTACAAGTGTATGAGCTCTACAATGGAGGAGCCAGAGTTGTTAAGTACGAGCTGGATATGGAACCACTGGCACAGGTCCAAGCTGTAAGCATGCTTATTTCACTATTGTGTTTTTGAGTGTGTAATTAGCAGCATTTACCTGCAATGTGCCAGATACAAAGAACATTTATTGCTTGCTGACCATATCGTGCCATTGCCTTATTGTCCAAGAAAATACTTACTTTAGGAAAGATGATGATGAACTAAATAAAGGTCGTTAAGGAGGCTACGTTTCCAAATCATTTCAAAATTATTTTTCTGCTGTTCGTTGCTCATAACCTGCATTCCCACTACGTTATATCAAAATCGTGAGGCTATAGGCTTGTCGTTTCAGTATCCGTCAGGCAGAAATATTGTCACCTAGCCGGTTGAATAGAATTGTCTGGTAGGAATTTTGCTAGAAAAAACAGGCCTACACACATCTGAAGTATAGACACCTTACAATGTTTCTTTACCATACACTAATAAGTGTATTAGTGCAAAATATTTTCCTTTAGTTCTTAATATGTTCCTGTTATTTTAATGTCATCTCTGCAGCAAAACTATGGCTGTCGCATCTTTGAATGTCTGAATCCATCAGGAGAGATCCCCCCTGAATGTGCTGCTTTGATCTACTGGCAATTTTCTCCACTTGAAGCAAGAACTTACATGGTCAGTTGCGCTTAATTATCTTCACTTCTTTTTTAAATGTTAATGATGGCCAATCAGGTTGATAAGGATTTAATTGAAGGAAGATATGCTGGCAAGAGACCTGTGGTCTTAGACAAGACTAGCTACAGCAGTACCCCCTGGTTATTTCATGCTAAACTAAAATGAAGCACTTGTCTGATGTGTTTCCCGGCTTTTAACCTGGTGACTTTCTTGTTGACTCTCAGGTAGATGTTCCAGTCCGTATCATTGGCGGGGAGACAGTGCTGGTCACATTCACTGGAGTAGGATATGATCAGCGTATCATGGGAGATACGCTTCCTGTCAAGGATGTGGGAAGCACCGCAGTGCCTGATAAACAGATAGTGCAGGTGCCTAAACAGGTTAGTGCCTGAACAGGTTAGTGCCTGAACAGGTTAGTGAACAGGTTAGTGTCAGCTTTTTGACAAGTAAGCATTTAATCACAAGTCCTTGCACTTAGCAGTGAAATGTGCTTTACTGCTACCACTAAGAAAAGTTTGGATTTAATACTGGACTTANTAAGAGCATAATTTAAACAGTGTCATAGGAACATACACCTAAAACTCAATACTGGCAAATAAAAGGAAATTCATAATAATTATTATTTTTTATCTTTATGACTTGTGAGGGAATACATTAACATTATAATTGTTATGACATCTCTTGTAGCTTTGGAAATAAATAACCAGAATGGAATAATTCCAGCAAGAACGTCTCAGAAGATTACAGCAACTGCTTATCCGTCACGTCGAGTCTGCTACAAGTTCAAACTCAGTTATGAGCTTTTCTCGATGTTTGGTATGTTACTTAATATAACATCGCATTCAGAAAATACATATTTGAACCTGGCCACACTGGCCACCCTGAGACAAAATTTAAGTGGCCACTGTAAAGAGGTGGCCTGTGTGAGAGTTGAATGTATCGATCAGCACTTGAGACAACACCCCTTCATTGAAGAGATGTGGCTCTTATAGCAGGGTAGCTGTAAATTGAGACTCTGCTGTATTTGATGCAGGTACTTTGACATTGGCCCTTTCTGGCACTACCTGCAAATTACAGCTTTATCTACAGTGCTTCGATTTGTTTATAGGAGAGCCTGGGTGGAAAGATTCATGTCATGGACATATTTTTCCTCCTATAGATGATGGTAAACCGTTCTTAACATGCCCCAAGAGACAACTAGTTGATCTGCAGTGTCAAGGAGTGTATCCAACTCTTTCTGTAACTGATGCTCGCTGCCTGGGGAGTGGTAAAGGATACAGTAAAATACAAATATGGACCCTCTTTTCCCTTGACAGGTCAGATATAATCAAACACTTAGCTAGAGAAGTTTTAAGTTGGCTGTCACAAGCTATAGTGTTTGCTTTGACAGGTCAGATGTAATCAAACACTTAGCTAAAGAAGTGTTAAGTTGGCTGTCACAAGCCATCAGTGTTTGCTTTGACAGGTCAGATATAATCAAACACTTAGCTAGAGAAGTTTTGAGTTAACTGTCACAAGCTATAGTGTTTGCCTTGACAGGTCAGATGTAATCAAACACTTAGCTAAAGAAGTTTTAAGTTGGCTGTCACAAGCTATAGTGCTTGCTTTGACAGGTCAGATGTAATCAAGCACTTAGCTAAAGAAGCTTTAAGTTGGCTGTCACAAGCTGTAGTGTTTGCTTTGTAAATAATATGTCACCAATCAGTCAAAAATGTAGGTTAACTAGGCACATCATGTCATTTTTAAATTCTGAAACAACTAGTCGTTGTGGGTCAACCTACATCGTAGATAATGAATGTAACAATAGTAAATTCCACAGTAAAATTAAGTCTCGTTCTTACTTTGTAGCCTGAATGAATGCCTGGAGTCCGATCCATCTCCGTCAGAACTCCTTTATGCTGCAGTCACTCGACACAGGTCGGTAACTAATTGTTATAAATCACTGGTGTACACTACATTTTATAAAATTCAAATCACTTCTGTGGAGATTTTTGTGATGTCTAAATCATGCTGGCAACAGACAGCTGGGGACCATTATCCTGATTATGAGGTCTTGATATTTGTATTCAATTTTCACAGCACAAGGCGCCGAGTCCCTGTCAACACAAGAGCCATAATGGACTTTAACTTTGGAGCAGCTCCTCTGGGCGATGACTCATGTGTGGTTCATCTGAACCTACAGAACACAGGATCAGTTCCTGCTGAATGGTAAGTACATCATCACTATTCTTCATCTGCTATCACTATGTAGGGCTGTCATTACGTTTTGAGTCACCTCCTGGTACCTTGATCTTCACGTCCATAACCAACTTGTTTCTTCGAGGGTGTGTTGTATCAACAGCAGGCAAGTTCACCTAGAGCATCAAGGGTTCATCAAGCATACTCAGGTGTAACAGGTTTTTCAAGTTACGCCCCTCAATGCATATGATGGCCCAATCCACAATGAACTCAATTAAGGTATACTCATCTTATAACTCACCCATGGTCGAACTTATACTAAAATGTAAAGTTATATGTGATCCTCTATTACATTTTAGGAAATAGTAAAATAACTGCTCATGTTTGCCGCATTGCACAGGGCTTTCTTGTATCCGAGTGATCTGCAGCTTGAATTGGAGTATTGGACTGAGACAGGAGAGTATGATGAAGATGAACTTCATGAGGTAAGAAATGCAGGTTGGGTAGGAAGGGGTCTGGGCACTAACTGACCTGTGTTTGTTTTTCATCATTCTTTAGATGCAGGTCATGGACAATAAACTATTCAACATTGAACCCAGAAGAGGGAAGCTGTTACCAGGAGAGTGTCGCACTGTTACTCTAACTTACAGGTGACCGAGGACTCAGCTTGTACTGTACCTCTTAGAAAGCAAAAGTGTTTTGATTTTTTCACTGCACAACGTACACAACGCAAATACAAAGTATAACTCTTAACTCTAGTGTCTATAGCATCAGGGAGAAAGGACTCGGTCGTTTGAAGCAGGATGAACCAATCCACGTTCAGCATAAACTGTAAATTCTCAGCACCAGTACATTGTTAATAACAATGGATCATCCAAGGTGACATGTATCTGTTGCATGAATCGACTAAGTATTGCTGCCCTGCCTAGCTGCTATTTCTGCATAAGTGACTTTGCAAGATCCCGCAAACAGCGGTTTGCAAGTTTCAGCAAAGAAGGAAAATTTGCAGTGGAAGACGTGACCCGTTACCCCTGTCGTTTTGGTCAGGTTATATATTGCCAAGTGTCATTTTGTGCTCTGAAATGTAGAGGAACACTGTAAAAGTAATTTGTCTCACTCAAGCAAACGAGAGAAAAGCTCTGGGGCAGGCTCAAACTTGAGTGTGCCAATCTGGAGTCCAGTAAGCTAAATTAGCTCGCCATTGATTGTACTTATCCATGTTACTTTCTACTCATTCGTTACTGTTTAATATACACTTGAATTGCCAGCCACCTGTTCACTGGTACCAACAGACTTCCAATCTTGTTCAAGGTCATGAGAGGAAGAGAAATCCTGGTATGATATGTCTCGCATAGGGTGGTGTCTTAGTAAACAGAGGTAGCACTTAAATTAGCCTGTTTTCTACCTTTTAGAGGTCTTCACCTGAGCGGGTTGTAAACTATAGAGAGACCGAGCTTTGCACTTATGATGGTCAACCACAGAGTATTAAGCTATAATACTAAGATTATCTTAAGTTGTGGTTTGTGGGTGTTCTCTGGCCAGGTCCAGCGAAAATAGAAACTGCAATGATTGTAGTTCGGATTTTTCTTTTCACTTGAACTAGCGAATGACGTTGTACAACAACATCAATTTCCCTCTTAACTAAAACATGAAACCAGCAATGCCTGCTAACCATACATCTCCACAAAATTAACAAAATTATGTTTAAGCACTTATACTTGAAAACATTGTACTTTTAATAACGTTTAAGCTTTTTTTTGAACAGGGTGAAAGAATGTGTAGTTTTACAGGGTATAAAGTGTATAGCGTGTCACACATTAAAACAGTTAAGAATTTTTTCATTGACCATAGCGTTGTGTTTTACTTGTTAATGTGGTTGTTCTTTTTTACCACAGTTGAATTTCACTGGCGTGACTGTGGACCCAGACAGTTTCTATGTACACTTTGCCAACACACGGCACCTATTTGAGCCTGTCCCTGTGGGAGGGACCTCACCACCAGTACAAGTGTATGAGCTCTACAATGGAGGAGCCAGAGTTGTTAAGTACGAGCTGGATATGGAACCACTGGCACAGGTCCAAGCTGTAAGCATGCTTATTTCACTATTGTGTTTTTGAGTGTGTAATTAGCAGCATTTACCTGCAATGTGCCAGATACAAAGAACATTTATTGCTTGCTGACCATATCGTGCCATTGCCTTATTGTCCAAGAAAATACTTACTTTAGGAAAGATGATGATGAACTAAATAAAGGTCGTTAAGGAGGCTACGTTTCCAAATCATTTCAAAATTATTTTTCTGCTGTTCGTTGCTCATAACCTGCATTCCCACTACGTTATATCAAAATCGTGAGGCTATAGGCTTGTCGTTTCAGTATCCGTCAGGCAGAAATATTGTCACCTAGCCGGTTGAATAGAATTGTCTGGTAGGAATTTTGCTAGAAAAAACAGGCCTACACACATCTGAAGTATAGACACCTTACAATGTTTCTTTACCATACACTAATAAGTGTATTAGTGCAAAATATTTTCCTTTAGTTCTTAATATGTTCCTGTTATTTTAATGTCATCTCTGCAGCAAAACTATGGCTGTCGCATCTTTGAATGTCTGAATCCATCAGGAGAGATCCCCCCTGAATGTGCTGCTTTGATCTACTGGCAATTTTCTCCACTTGAAGCAAGAACTTACATGGTCAGTTGCGCTTAATTATCTTCACTTCTTTTTTAAATGTTAATGATGGCCAATCAGGTTGATAAGGATTTAATTGAAGGAAGATATGCTGGCAAGAGACCTGTGGTCTTAGACAAGACTAGCTACAGCAGTACCCCCTGGTTATTTCATGCTAAACTAAAATGAAGCACTTGTCTGATGTGTTTCCCGGCTTTTAACCTGGTGACTTTCTTGTTGACTCTCAGGTAGATGTTCCAGTCCGTATCATTGGCGGGGAGACAGTGCTGGTCACATTCACTGGAGTAGGATATGATCAGCGTATCATGGGAGATACGCTTCCTGTCAAGGATGTGGGAAGCACCGCAGTGCCTGATAAACAGATAGTGCAGGTGCCTAAACAGGTTAGTGCCTGAACAGGTTAGTGCCTGAACAGGTTAGTGAACAGGTTAGTGTCAGCTTTTTGACAAGTAAGCATTTAATCACAAGTCCTTGCACTTAGCAGTGAAATGTGCTTTACTGCTACCACTAAGAAAAGTTTGGATTTAATACTGGACTTATCTGTGATAGTTTTCGTTCCCTGTCCATACAAAAACTACAGTTAGTTTGGGAGGGCCAGAAGATGTCAAAAGCAAATTGCTCTAAATTGCTGCTTCTTTGATACTGGAAAAGCTGAGGAAACCAACTCGGTAGCGAGTGCCTAAGTTTAAGGTTTGGCCACAATTTGCAACTGCATAGAAGACCATTTAGCAAAGCTTTTGTGTACAACTGATTAGAAAGTATCAAAAGTAGTATATGATGGAAGCAAAGATGAAGAACATAACATCATACCAGCTTCGTTAAATTAAAGAAACAATTTGAAATGTTTGGTATACACAAATTAGATCGAGATCTGCTTGTTTGCTTGCTTTTGTGACACGTACAGCATCTTGGGTTTGAACAGGTAACAATATTCAAGCTGATACCAAGTTGAATAAAACAGCATAATAATGCTAGGTTGCTTATTTTTCAGTTGTCCTACTTGTCAGTGGAATGCATTCCATTTGGTAACGTTCCTTTGTATACAATGTCTCGACGTATGTTCTTTTTGACGAATTCTTCAAAAGATCACATTATATCCTTCAGATGGATCTTAGAGGGATCTGCCATGGAACAGGTTTCTTTAGTTTTTGTCACACTTTCATAACAAGTAGATGTGTTATCTTTTCAATCAAATCCTGAATAGCTGTGTGGGTTTTTAAAACTGATATACTGTATGTCATTGACCTCTAAAGGTATCAAAATATTTATGAAAATGACCCAAACATTTAAGAGGACTTCAAGAAATTCTAGTTACATGATGCTGGGAATACTTTTTTTTGTCTTTTAGCTGACTTGCCGTTGACTTTATTTTAGGTGATAATGATTGAGCCAGATCACGGCTTCCTCAAACCAAAGCAAAATGTGCTGCTCAAGGTTGGTCAAATGATATTTATAAACTGAATATTTTCTACAAACCGGTTTCTGCTCTGACTTGCTGTGATTCTTTTCTAGGTTTCGTTCTTTTCCTGTGGTGCGCCTTCACTTTATGACATGGACATAATATGCGAGGTACTTCAGTAGTGATATTTATTTTTAGTTTTACAAAGTGAAATACCGTCTTCGCATGCTCAGCTTAAAGGAGCTCAGTCACGGTATTTTGAGTTATTTTGGCCACGCACAAATTTACCTTTAAATTGAAGGAAACCTGAAAATAGTAGTTTATCAAGATAGAAAAACATCCAAGAGATAATAATAAACCATAAAGGAACAAGGATGGAGAAGGATGGAAAAGATTAACACGGATTGCAAACGATGAACTAGAAAAATTTAGCCTAAACTTTTAAGATGCGGGAACTTTGACGTAGCTCCTTTGAATTAACTCGTTACTCTTTACTGCAGGCTCAGCTGACGTGTTTTTTCTTGCAGATTGTTGATGAAACGGAGATGGCAGAGTATAACCAGCGTCTTATAGACTGGACTAACATGAAGGAGGAAAAACAATACACCTTTACAATAACAGAAGATGATTTGAAAAGACCTCAGTCAGGACCGCATCTTAAATCCATCAGCCATCCAAGTCGAGGCAAGTCTCAATCTGAAGGAGACTTGAGGAAGTATCGAGCTCTGCCTCCAATAGGATCACCCAGGGAAACAAAAAGAAAAAAGAGCAGCAGATCATCTCGCCCAGAGACTCCGCCACAACCCGTGCCTCCAGAATCATTCCTGCTTCATCTGGGAATCACAGCTAGGACACATGCGATAGGAGAGTTTTATGGCAGCTTCCCAGCAGCCGTGAACAGATTTTTGATCGACCAGTGAGTAGTCCCATTTAGACCAAAAGTATAATAAATGCTGTTACTGTTTTAAAGCACTTTTCTGTATATAAGATTAGCTGCAGTGTGCCGTAAAAACTGGGACGTTATGGAACAGTTTTACTTGAGTTGGTCAGGCTTTAAGACCTGATTCTTCTGTTTTACTGGTTGTTTCAATAGACGACGTCCCGTGTAACATGTTGCTTTACAATTTGCAGGCGTTACGTGTTGTCTCGAGGGACTGATGACCAAGAGAAAGAGGAACTGTCAGCCTTAGTCTCCTGTGCGCGACCGGAAATGACGATCATTCAGGATGTGCTGTCTGTGATTTTAAGGTAACTGTCTTCATCCTTTCATCATTTTAATTGGGAGGACGAGGGTACTGTGACGGACACACGGAACAAACGAAAATAAAGCTGAAAACAAGACATTGGGCATAAGCTAATGGAAATTTCTTCCCTTATGTAGTACTCTTGTTCATGGCATCTCTGACAGTTGACAAGGGCTTTTTATCTCCTATTTTACTAATTATATACTCAGGATAAACAAGCGGATAAGGAAGGTGGAAAGTGATGTTATAGTGAGTGTGTTATACAAATAATAATGCTACACATTAGACTTGTTCTGTTTGTGTTAATACAGGGGTCTGCTTGATGATGACAATTTCTATCAAAGAATGTCCGAGATAGACCAGGAGCCTGTACCCTACTTTAGACAACTGTACGAAACGCAGTACACAAGTAGCCCCAGGCCTTCCTCTGCCAGTAGTCAAAGTAGTGACCAGTCTCGTCCTGGTGAGGAGTTTGGTGGCGAACTGGAACAGCTGCCTGGTAGCAAACAGGTAAAAAATGAAAAACAACACCACACTCTGAATGAGAAAACAATGAGTGTCGCGGACCAAATTCTGGTAGTGGTTTGTAAGAGCGACAATAAGTAAAAAGAAAATGTTCGTCGCTATGAAAGAATACCTTTTCTGCCTTCATTCATGTGCTTACTGGAACAATAAAATAATTTAATTACATTGTTCCAGAAAATATCCATTACTCCTCCTCCACCAGAAAATGAACCCCCCCCCCTCCCACTCCCCCAAAAAATGTTGTTTAAGCTCACTCTTGAAAGCCCGTGTAGCTGTTAACTCTATTTGTGTTACACAGCAAACTGGCAGTGATCACAGTCGTGAGGCTGGAGCAGCAGAAGAAAGAGTCATGAGTAGGACACGTCAGATAATACAGCGCACGTCTGAATCATCACTCTCCCTAGCAGCTGACAGATTGATGGACACAGACGGTGATGCGGAAACACTGACAGCACAGAGACAAACAGTGCGCAGGTTTGTGCAATAAACGCTCCAAACAACGTGAATTTTCACCTTTTAATGTCTAAACCCTGTACAGACAATTTAAAAAGGTTTACAGTATTTTCCTCGGTTTGGCGCATTTAAATTTCAAGTTCTCCCTCATTTTTAGATTGTTGAGAAGTGTCTTAATGTTCTTCCAAATTGTGCAATCTAATTCTTTTTACTTTTACCCTTGTCATTGCAAGACTACAGTTCGCGTTAAATTCCTTCAGGAATTTTACGTTCTTGTTCGCGTTTTGCCCTTGAATGATCTCGTATAGAAGTCTCCTTGAAGTTTTCGAGTTGCACGTGTACTTCTGTGCTGGGTATGGCTTTGAGCCAGTGTACAGTGTGCAAGAATGAGCTAGGGGCTGGAGTTTCTTTGGCTTAGCTGCACAACCGTCTGCTAGGGCATTCTCCCATTTCCCATGCCCTATTTGCTGATCTGTAGTTTATCACATTATCTCTTTTAGATTGCCTGAGTTTGAGTCACTGGTGGAGTCCATTCTTGAAAATTCACTTCTGAACTTGCTGACTGAAGCGAATCATGGGGAGGTGAACCTGACATCACGGACAAGAGTGATAGCCTTGCCGCCCAATAGAGCAGCACACAAGTCAATAAGATAGCGTAAAATAACGGTCATATTGCACGGGAAGCTTGTAAATAATAAATTATTTTTCCTGCATCAGAAAATGAGGCAACCTCGGAACAAGAAAGAGCTCCATATTCAAAATACTTAAGACAGTATCAAAAAACACCTTTTTAAAATGTATGGTGAAAGATGTATCAATGTTGTGTTTTACATTAATTTTGGTCTGTACAGAGTATTTTATATCTTAAAGCTATTGTTCACGGTTTTGTGTATATGGAATCTGAATCTGAGTTTTCCTATCTTAACCTTCAAACCTTTGAATGTTACATGAATGTATAATAAAAGTTTGATGCTCCTAGACATGTTCTCTTTGTTTGATTAAATTTCAAGTTATTAATGTGTAACTGTGGTACACTACCCTAGGTGACCCCAGCTAACCCAATAACACACCTAATGCTAATCACTGGCTAATATTTAGCTCTTATTAACCGAGCAGGTGGTAGTACACACAACCAAGATCAAGATTCTCCCATACAGACCGACTAAGCTCGGTTAATAAGATGTCTATTATATGGCAAACAAGAACAATTTAATTCATTTAATGAAACTGGTTTGTACTGACATTTTGCTCGCAAACCGTGATGAGCTCGATTTAATTCTGCTGAAGTTTGCTCATCCTCTTTACTTTTTTTTTCTCATCAGGCTTTTTGGCACTTCCATAAATAAATATTGTCAGAAGAAAATAGTAAATGATTTTGCATTTTATTTTGCAACTTTTTCATGCAAAACATTACCAGTCTAGATGGGAAAATGTAGACCGTTTTGACTTTCAATATTGATTTATGCCAATCAAATTTGTGAATTTGGTAGTTCCCAGTCCTTGTGAGACAGAGCCATACAATAAAGGATTAGAATAAATTTTGAAATCTGGTTTGGAACTTTTCAGTGAGGTTTTTGTCATTATATTTTAAGTCTTTTGGCTTTAATGTGACTGTCAGTACACAAAACCTTTTGTAGTGAAAGTGCTTTTACACACTTTGAGCAAAATGTCCATGAAACTCTGGTTGTCAAAACCAAGAAAATACTAACATCTCAAACATCAAATATCAACAAAATCAATAAAAACTATTTTAAAAGATCAACATCGTCTTGATTAGGAAAAACCTCATTAGGATTATTTCAATTTCGTCACACATTTACACCATATGTGACTAAAACATAATAAATAGGCCTACTATGTATGTGAAAGGAAATGCAAAACAAAGTTGAAATTTAAACTTAAATGACTTTTAATAGCTGGTATACGATTGATTGACCCTGAGTGACGCAAGCTTATGGTCTAATGTTGCATTGACTGATGATAGCAGTCACGATTCTTGATGCTGACCAAAAGCAGCCTCTGGGGACAAGAATGTCACATAGCCAGCAGCCTTTCAAATTTACTAAAATAAAAGAAAGTGTTAACTTATGTAAATAGGTCAACTCCAATAGGATTGGTATGGGACATCAACATGGCTGCCATGATGTTGTGAAAACACTCTACAGTAAGAGCAGTGATAACAGATGAATTCCTCTCACAGCTACCGCTCATTATTATTGTAAAAGGCACAAGAACACGAAAAGTCTCATCCACAAAGGCTCATAATAAAACTGATTGATAAAACAAATTATTAGACAAGCTTGGCCTTGTAACAAGAAGAAAGAGTAAACTACAGTCCATTGACAATTAATTATTTTAACACTAAGTTAATTAAAAGTTCAGTTTTTTCTTTCATATGCTAATTGTCTCATTGGTAATTAAAATTACATCTACGTGAGCCACTAAAAGCAAAGAGGTACTATAAAATTAAAGGTTCCTGACTTCAACTGTTTCATAATTAACAATGATATAGGAGAACCTTTGTTCACAACAATTGCCTTGTTAGTATAAAATTTTGATTGTACCTGTGGCCAATGTGCCAGATGGAAACAATGAACTCAGCAAAGATTCGCCTTTGCCAGTCACTTTGTCTCTGTTCCATGATATTTAAACAAATATTTCTGTGTAAGATACATCCTCATTCTCACTGTACAATAAATACATTATTCTGACTGAAAATGCAAATACTGTCCAAAATACTTACTGACCTTTTGGCATTAAAATAATTTTCTTCACACAACCAGAAAACTATATGTACTAAATAAAGAGAGTTTTTACTATTGGAATAGATAACATCACAATAAATACCATCAGAATATATAAACTTCATATGTGAAATTAAAAAATTGAAAGTCTGTGAGCATTAAAATTCTTTGATTCTGATGCGAGATGAACAAGCTGCAAACCCTACCAGTAATGAAACTGTTCATGCTTTTTGTGTACAGATCATAATTACAGTGGACCCCACCTTACGACCACCCCGTTGATACGACCACCTCGTTATTACGGCCACTTTATTCTGGCCCAAAAAAAAGTTCAGTCAGTCATTTTCTTATTTAAAGAACCCCTTTAATACGACCACCCCGTTAATGCGACCAATTTTTCATGGCCCAAAGGTGGTCGTACTAACAGGGTTCCACTGTATTATACTTGCTTGTGTGGATTTGTGTCACCATTTTGTTTTGCTTTTCTTCAGAAATAGCACGATAAAGATTAATCTAACTAAGAATATTTTGATCTAACCGTTTTAAGAATATAAAGTGTTAAAATCTACAACTTGGACTGAAACAGTACATTCCTGGTGTCTGTAATTTTCACTCCCATTCTGTTCTTCATGACTTTCTCAACTGCATTACAGATGTGTTCCAGATACCAGAATGAAACTCGCTTGTGCACAGGAAGATACAACACATGATCTATCAAGTATTTTGAATTGTGCGGAAACAGAATGTCATCTTTCTCCTTGCTAAAGGCATTGTTTGTACCAGTTGTGCTGACGGGTGGAGAGCACACAAACTCTGCAGATGTTGGCATTTCATTTGGTACATTTCTTGATGTGGGTGCTGTTTTGCTTGCTGTACTGCCAGCTGAGGAGGACATTCCCACAGCAGCACCAACTTCTGTTTGAGACAACAAACTAGAATAAATAGGTTTCCCCGCCTTGATTTCTTGCCTTGTCTTGGATCCATCTGCTTGATCTGCCTCACTCTGCTTTGTTCTAAAAACAGTGGAAAGTTGTGTTGCTCCTTTGTATGCCTCTACACCTTCTTTTTCCAGTGCTTTTACAACTTCATCTGGATTGTCCTGTAACAAGGAAATATGATTATTAACACATAAGGCTTTAAAAGTAAATCACACACACTAATCTGTGGTTTATTGCCTCAATAAGCCACCTGTGAAAAATGAGAAGATATTGTAGATAATGTTGATTTACAAGTTCTCCAAGTGTCATTCTATCACTGTCATTAATTATCATGGCTATTTGCCGATACTCACCACAACCAATGGAAACAACCAATAACTCTTGATGTCTGCTTTTTTGCCAGGAACAAACACATTGCTTGGAAGATTGCTGCTTACAAAATCTCCTTTCAACTTGATGGTGCGAAAGTCTTTGGTGCTCACTCTTCTCAGCCGGTACAGCATGAACTTCAGCAGCATGGCACATGGTTGATACTGAAGTTTATTGATGGTTACACCACCAGGAAATGCACGCAGGAGAGAAATGAAATACTCTTTATATCTGAATCCCAAGAGATGAAAAGAATTTATAAACAGCCAGTTCAACAGAGAATTATTAAATCCAGCCATCATGAGCAAAGAGTAACAAGTTAGCTTTCTGAAGTAGGTCCATTGACTCTGAACAGGAAACTCTTCCAACTTGGCTCTCATTTTCTTTAAAATTTCAGGGTTTTTAACTCGAACCATTGCCCCACCCAAAGATGTATAGTACTTAATTGATCCAAAACTGAAAAATGTCAGGTCTGAGAGTTTGTGGCCTTTCCTTTTCAAACCTTGAAATGACTCAGCACAATCTTCTAATACATAAAGCCCATGCGAATGTGCCACCTGGAACACTTTGTCCAAATTAATCCATTTGCCGTACAAGTGGGCTGCCACAATAGCAACAGTTTTGTCCGTCACGGCAAGTTCAACAAGTTCAGGTTTGGGTGCCAGTGTGTCGAGATCCAGATCAACTGGGACAACCTTTAGTCCATGACTCTCAACCACAGACACCATGTCTGGAATATTAATTGCTGTGAAAATTACTTCTGAGCCAACAGGAAAGTCCATGACAGTTAGGAAGACATCCAAAGCAGTCCTTATGGAAAAAGTAGCTAGCCATTGTTCAGATCCACCAAACAATGTCTCAAGTTTGCTTTGAAGTCGTTTCCGTTCTTGAGAAGTGTTATGGGTAGTTGAATACCTGAAGGCAGTTAGAATGTCTTTCCATGTTGCATCTAAATTAATGCAAAAAAAAAAGATCATTAACAGGTGTATGTCCCCCCCTCGCCACCCCCTACCCCTATCCTAGACTAGGGACTATTACATTTGTTCTGGGCTTACTGTGCAGGTGCTTAGAAATGCTGTCAAACATGAACATTAAAATTGCCACACTTCAATAATCATGACCTCTCTACTTCCCTTGCCTTTGTTTGACCCTGCACATTAAAATTATACAGGAACCATCACAGATGCACTTGCAGATTATCACTATGATAGCACCCATAGCAATAAACCTGGAGGATTGTACTGAAATGGAGTCAACATCTACTTTATTGACTGATGAAACAAAATACTGCATAATATAAATAATATATAGTTCAATCCAGTAAGACTGCCTTGTTATATTTTATTGGAGAATTTTGGTGTATCATTCATCCAGGCAGATAATCTGTCAACACGAATTATACAGCTAGATAATATAAATCATTTAGGGAATGAGCTATGAGATGAGCTGTGTGTCTGTTTGACCATTCATTTAAGGATAAACATGGGCAAACAGACAGATCATCCATTCAGACAGATTATCCACGTTCAGCTCATTTCAACAAACTAGGCAGACAGTTAATCGTCACCAAAAATCCAACTGTTTACCCATAATAATTATTTATACCCAGATTGCCCTCTGAAAATGCTTGAAATGTTTGTCCCACTCACAGATCTTAGTATGATTTTTCACAGACAGCCAGTAAAGCATAACAGGTGACAGGTGCCCAAAGGGCCAAGCCAACATAGGGAGGTCCAGGTTGCCAAAGATGCAGTTTCATGCATTTTGAAGGGGGTGCGGGGGGGTGCAAAGTGTTGTATTTAAGCACTTGATTTCACTTGATTGCAAAACAGGCGTAATATGGTCATATTTGTGGCTCAAAGTTAGTAACCTAGCTGCTGGTCATGTTTGCGGCTCAATGTTAGTAACCTAGCTACTGTGTGCAAATTTTAAATTTTAATTCTTCTTTTCAGCCAGCTGAAT